AAAGATCCCAAATAATACAGTGTCCCCCCATTTGAAAAATGGCACGGTGGATTTGATACCTCAATGGTCTTGCACTAGCCACAGACAGCTTTGCGTTTGTGCCTTGGTTTAGGTGAGCAACGATCTGTTCTTGCAAATATTGATGCAGTTCTTTCCTTTTAATCATGTGTGATTATATTGACCTGAGTTATTTAAACAATTCATATGAATATTGATTTTCTTTGCATCATTGTCATATCATGTTCTTCAATAAGTATTTGTTTCTTAAAATTTGATATACTTCTGTCCGCACATTATTAGTCTACTTGATTTGGTGACTTTGATTTTATTATGAATTTAGAACTTTGAAGAGGATAGATAAACCTGGTTCTATACCTATGTGCTTGGCTGCTTGCTACTTACACTGAAATTATACGAATTGCAGCGATGTGTTGCAACAGCCAACAGTAGGATGTCTCAATCCAATCAACAATTTTCTTTGTTCTGTATTATTCAATCATATGTTTTTAGGATCTCTGTGTCAAGAAGAGGATATATCAAAGTAGTGTGTCATGTTCTCATTATAAATGAAGAGAAGAGAAAGTTGAGAACTTCATAATTGCATAGTAATCATGGCTAGATCGTAGAGTTTAGAGATGTACAAATGATTGATTAAAAATATATATTTATATTTGCAGCGAGACAATGGATCATGCCAGGTAATTTTTTTTGTAGAATATAAGTCAGGTTTAGAACTTTTGACCAAGACAGCTGAAAAAAACAAAGTAAATACATCATATATATATATATATATATATATATATTCGATATAATGTATATTTAGATATTCATGGCGCTGCATAGGCATAGTTCAGTTCCTGGGAGCACTAGCTGCTGGCGTATACATGTATTTCTTGATTCTAATAAGATGAAGGCAATCTTAGAAAATACTAGCTTAGCCCGCGCGGCGGCACGCCGCGCCTGTCGATAAATCGTAACTATGTAGACCGTTGTTGAAATGATAGAACTATAAACAATTATGAGTTTAACAGAATATGCATTGTAGCTTTATGTATATCTTTTACTATTAGGTAAAGAAGACCATATCAATATATAGTCCACCGCTAATGAAAGTTCAAGATGGCAAAGAAGTACATTTATTACAACCATGCATGATACATGCTGATAAACAGAATGATAAAAACTGGTACATCTCTAATAAAAGGTACTTATTAAAACTATAGAGTCCACCCTACATAGTGGGTTTATAGCGTGACACGACCGTACTGCAATAAGAAATTGCAACCAAATTCCCCTGAATTTGATCGTCCCTGTATAGCCTCCTGCAGGATTAGTTCTGATAATAAAGTGATACAAAGCTTTTGCATTCTTGGACACGTCCCACAGGAGGTTTTGCTCATGTGTATGTGATAATAGAATCTTAGCTGTGTGCACACTGGGGGTATATACAAAGTGGCATCACATCGAAAAAGTTGTTGCATATTTTTGCCAAAATCATTGTCTGCCTTGCGGATTCATTCTGCTGAGTAGTTCCTTGTTGGCGGGCCATGTTACATTGCCATTACTTCGTTTGTGCGCTCTGCTCATGCGGAGCTTCCAGGTGTGCCACATAACTATAGAGATCGATACTTTACATTAAAATTACTTTCATGTAATCGTTTTATTACAATAAAGCAAGTAGTGTACAATTTTGGATTAGAACGTATAGACTTATTCATTATCTACTTATCACCTTCTGCAGGAGGTGTCCATAACGAAATAGTACAAAACTTTTGCAAATTCTCGCATACAGCCATGGGGTCGTTTGGCACCGGTATATGTGATTAGTGGATCTTCAGTCTGCGGGCACCGAGGATACATACATAGTGGTATGATGTCTGAAAATCAGTCAGATATCTTTGCTAAGATTTTAACTTGCCTTGTGAATTTCTTCTGCTGAGTGCTTATTTCCTTTTTTAGGGGTGAGTGCTTATTTGCTGACAGGCCATGTTAAATTGTCACTGTTTGGCATGGGTTGCTTCATGTGAGGAAATCAGACCTCTCTTTGTAGCTTCAAAGATGCAGTAATTATAGTACTCTTCAAATTGCATCTTTTAGGATAGGTTTTCCATTGCTTGTGCCCCGTTGATATGTAGTGTTTATGTACGTTGTTTTTATTATTTACATTGGATCTGAATTTAAAGCAAGAGAAGTATGCATAAAAAAAAGGAGAAACTGAAAAAATGATAGATTTATTTCCAACGTTCGTGGTGCATCTTAGAAAACAAAGGGTACATGCTGGTATCTTTTTGATAATATAAAATAAATACGGTATGTGCACTTGTAGTTTAGATCATTCCTGCAAGATTGGTACCTGTGATGAAGTGATAGAAAGTCTTTGTCAATTGTTGTACCCGACCCACTGGTGGTTTGGTGCCGGTGTACGCAATGATTGGATCATCGGTGTATGAGCATTGAGGGTACATTCACAGTGGTATCACAACAAAGAAATTGTCTCATATCTTTGCAAGGATTTTAGTTTGGCTTCTCATTTGACTATACGGTGACCTGTTGGTGGTCCATATTGAACTGTCGTTGATTGATTTGTTCTCGTGCCTTCGCTTGTGTCGAAAGCACGCTTCTTTTTTCTACTTCAAGTGCATGATAGTTGTGATCACTGATAGTGATGTTGTAGTGGGTGCGTATGTGTTTTAAAGCCGCTTGAGCAGCGTTTTCTTTAGCTGTACCTTGTGTTTCAGCGAGTTCACCTGTGAATGCAATCTATTTTGTGTTTCAGCAAAACAGAACACGTCAATAATATAATTTGTTAGGTGTCAATATCGCCAACAACTTAGACATGCAGCCAGAGAAAAAAAACGACTACATTTTTTTTGAGGAAAAAATGACTATATTAAATAGCTCATAAAAACTCTATGCATTATACACATGTCAACATTAGTTGTGGCGCGTACATAGAAACAGAGAAAAAACATGCACCTTTGGCTCTCTTGCCACTTCTCCTTTAATATGTGGCTTATGCTATCAAAAAAAATGCACCTAGACAACTTCCCCTTGAAATTTCATGCGCGTAGTAGATCGTGTTGAAAATTAAGTCTGGCCACTGCATGCGTCCAACTGCAGCCAACGGTTTAATTAAAAGAGGACAAATGACTATACAAATTATTGTGTCCACATAGGATGTGTACTATCCCAACACGTGGCTATTTTGCATGCAAGATCCATAATCATATGATAGGTGTAGCGGTTTAAGAGCTATGCTCAATTGTTATCTGGGCTAGAGTTCAACTGTGAATTACCCGCAAAAAAGAAGAAGAGTTCAACTATGAAAAAAACGCAATCTATTTTTTTAGGGTTAAACGCAATCTATTTGAAAAGTCGTTTCTTAACCCTATTAGGCCCTTATATATTTAGGCAGGTATGTTTATATATTTTTAGATTATGAACGGTAACAGAAGCATGTAAAAGTGCTCATTGCTTGTGCCGTTGAAGTGAGAAAGACTGAGACCATATTCGAGATGTAGTATTACGGAAATATTTATGAATAAAAATAGAGCCATGCGATTGAAAGGAAAATATCACGGGACTGCAACTCTCTTCTTATATGAATGAAAGGGCCCATGGTGTTTGTGCGATTGAATTCTTTTAAATGATATACATTCTTGCGGTGTGCACATGTTCCTATGCTAAGGCGAGAAAAGAGTTCTTCGCACATGTTTGGTGCGCCTTTTTGTCAGTAATAATACACGTACTATTCATGCAACTCTTGTTTTTCCCTTCTATATTGTACAAAACACAACTCAAATTTTTTTGGATGGACGGGTGCACCAAATGTAGCTAACCTATAACCACGATTTTTTTTACTTGAAATAAAGTCATGGAAGAGTCGATAGAGGGCGTGCAGGATTATCAAGTTTCAGCAGCCAATTCAAATCCGCGGCATGTGTGCTGATGAGACAGGTGCCGCAACTGTGAGACCCAAGTCAAGTCTCCCCCCCAAAAAAGTAATCCAAAGAAGAAGGAGATCCATGGAGAACTTGCATGGAGATCCGTGTAGAGCTTGCAGAGATCAGTGGAAAGGCCGGGCATGCAGACATAGCCGCCGCGTCCAGTCAGTATATACACGTTCGAACTGATGCACATAAGTGCCCATGAAAAGGATTGGGAGTGTCCTCCATTAGAGAAATTCAATTACGTGCAGTGAAATCAAACTGCTGCTCAACAGTGAACCCCGCACATGGCTTGCATTCAGCAATCAAGATTTACTTCTCCCTAACACAATTCATCAAGAATCTGAGTCATGTGGCGTAGCTAGCAGGCTAAAACCAACCCTTCCAACAAACTGCAGTTTGGCATGACATCACAGGAACATGCTATATGTTCTAGCATGCTGCATCTAGTCAGTCTCATTTGGCACGATGCCATGGAGGTGCTCACGCAGTTCGTCGCGGCGGCGCAGGTGGCTCGCAGGTCGACAGTGGGCGGCGGGCATCCAGTGTGTGGTCGACTGGTTGGAGCAGTGCGCGGCCACGCAGACCTCACGGCGCGCACTGACACAGCAGCAACATGCAAGCAGCACGCATGGCACACAACATAGAGGTGAGGAAGAGGCAACCGTCCGTGTGCTCGCCATCCCGCAGTTGACGACGATCGAGGTGGGCAAGGAACAGGAGTGCATCGTCACGTCCGCTTTGGCTCTAGTATAGCCGAGGTAGCACCTCTCCAGTCTCATGACGACGACACGGGGGAAAGACTCCGATGGCGCTGGATGGCAAGGCGACGGCAACCTGGGCGAACGCAACGTCCAGCCGGTGGAGACGTGACAAGGATCGGCGGGCCTTCAGCCTGAGAGGTCGCTAGCTCGTGGCCTCGGCTGGTAGGCCGGGCTCGAGGTCAAGATTGCTGGCGCATGCCTAGACGACGACGCAGTCCACAAAAGCCTTCTCCCACTGCTTGGAATCCAGAGAGCTCAGGTCGTCCGACGCGCCGACGCGGTCCTGCGCTCAGCTCCTCGGCCAGCGCGGCGCCGGATTGTAGCCTGCCCTGGCAATGGTCGCAACCTGAGACACCCCCGTGCGCGGCAAGGAAGTGCATGCGGAGACGGAAGGAGGTGCGGTCGAGCCCGTCACCGCGGCGCCGAAGCCGGCGACCATGCATTGCATGACGCCGTAGAAGAGAGTGATGACAGCGGCGGCGTGCTCCATCTCCAAGAGGCGGCCGTGCACAAACGGATTTGAGCCACCAGAGCGGCGGGGAAGAGCGACGCTCCTGCAGGCGCCACCGGAGACCGTCACGGTCTGGTCGGCCGCCGCGGGCAGGCCGTCTAAGAGGAGCCAGGGCGAGCTGGCGTCAGCGGAAGTTGAGAAGAGGCCCTCAAAGTCGTGGGAGACAACGTTACTGTAGTCGGAGGCAACGCTCCATGTCCGGAGGCGAGACGGAGCAACCGAGCAGGCACTCCCTCACGCGGACGACGCGTCGGCGAGAGCGAACCACGACGGCGTGGCGTCCATGGCGGAGAGCGCACGGCATCGGAGTGAGCCTAAGCCTTGGCCTTAGCGCGGCGGCATCCTCCGCGGCAGCAGGAAGAGCTCCATGGTGGCCTTCGTGCATGCCTCTTACTCCGCTTTTCATGCGTGCTCCATGAACTCGTGAATCATAGGCGGGTGGGAAGGTTGCGGAGGATGAGTGTTGATATTGCCGGGTTGGCAATTTATAGGAGCTCAAATCGGTAATGAACGGAATACTCTCGAAGGAGAGAGATAGCGAAAGGAGCTCCGCTTAAGGCGGTACCGTCTATATCCCATAAAATCGGTAAGTACGTGTCAATCACTAGATCGCATCCACGAAGCGACGTCCAGAATTTACGATGAGATGGCACCGTCCATGCATGTAGGAGAGGCCACGTCACATATCAACGTTTGTATCGGGCAACACGTAGCAAAAAATATCTACAACCATCTACAACACTCACCGAATAAAAAGCTGAGACAACAAAGTCAATTGGCTCCCAATCTCATACATGCATGCATGCACGTTTAGAAACAGACAAAGTGGAAAGTGGCCATGCAGCGCACATGCCGGGACACAAGGAATGTCCCATATCAAATGGAGAATCGCCAAACGTACCCCAAAGTGTACCCGCTCAGGTCCCCCATTAATTGGCGTGGCAGTACCTGATTGTCTGATTTTCACTGATTGAAAAAAGTCAAAAAAACAGGGTAAACTAAACCTAGCCAGGTTTAGTATATGTAGAATAGTAAGCACCTATCATGAAATTTTGAACTCGCGTGATGTGTCTCTCTGTTAATAACTATCATGCTTGCATAGCTGGTTGATTTATTTGATTATAATCAAACTGGACCGTCATTATAATCAAACTGGACCATCATTATCAAAGAAATACATGTACCAAAGTCACATCTGTTTAGATCATGATTAGGCATACAATTGCTCCTTCAAATTATTGTGATATTGTAGTGCTATTTAGTCTAACAAATTATGTATTGTGGTGTTGCACCTTCTTTTCTCTTCTTTCCAGGACATATACTCTGCATGAGAAGTTACCTACTTGCTATGAGCTTCAGACGCATCGGCCGCTGCTAGGTGTGCCGGATGCCCTGAAGATGGTCAGAGCTGTGGTGCCTGCAATTCCGGCTTCATCTCCACACCTACAGGTTCACCTCTCCCTCTCTCCCCCAACCAAAACCCGCAGCACAGACGGAGGAGAACACTGCCTAAAGAAATTGAGATCTAGCTTGAGCTTTTGATGTGCCTTTTGATCATCTTCATGGCATTTGCATCTAATGATCTGTACGACAAGATTCAGTGTGTTCCTGGGACACTAGAATGATATTTTTGCTGAATGACTAACGTGTGAACTGAATATATGAGTTGCTGTCATTGAAACTACAAACTGTGAAGTTTTAGATCAAGTATGTGTACGTGGTTGCGTCTTTAAGAGGTCTGAATATATGAGTTTCTGTCACTGATAGATATACTATGGACATTCAGGTTTTTGATAGTTTGCTCCTTGGGAGGTCAGTTTCCTTCAAGTACAGCTAAATCAAAGAGACACCGACTTATTTTGGTGCTTGGGATTTTGATTGCCAATCTGCAACAATGCCCATGCCCTTTGGTATTGCACTGATAATTTGCTCCTTGGGAGGTCAGTTTCCTTCAAGTACAGCTAAATCAAAGAGACACCGACTTATTTTAGTGCTTGAGATTTTGATTGCCAATCTGCAACAATGCCCATGCCCTTTGGTATTGCACTCTAATTATTATTATTATTATTATTATTATTATTCTCTTGCAGATGGTTTCTATCTTAAGTGTCTACAACAAAAGGGATAAGCAGCACCGCATCTGAGTACCAAAGCCATCCATGCCATTCTGTATTCCTCTCATCATACACTTGATCATAAAAATCAGCTTATTTTATTGCGGACCTACCATTTAAGATATCAAACTACTGTTATTGCAATTGGTCTTGAAATGCCACTAAATTGTTACTACATTATTTTCCACTGTTGTATGATTTATTTATCTAGAGGAACTTCTTTTATTGGTGGGAAAATATAAGTATCCTATTAGTCTGCTGAGATTTCCAATGCGATTCCTTACTAATCCTACAAGTCGTGTTCTTGATATTAAGTTGACGTTACCTTTCCGAGACATGTGTTTTCCAATGAGAATCTTTACTAATCATACAAGTCATGTTCTAGATGTTAAGTTGAGGTTATATTTCAAGTTATGTAAACCTGAAAGTGGAAGCATAATATACTACGTGATTCGATTGACCAACACTGAACTTTTTACATGTTTTCTTGTGTTGATTCAGTCCCATCTTTTTACATCATCTTCCACTTTCAGCTGATATATCTAAAATCTCTAATGAACATGTAATAGCTAGCAGGGAATAACTAAAGTCTTTGCAATTTTTTACATGTTGTCGTGCATCGATTCAGCCCAATTGTGCCATCGGAATGACTGATTCCGCCGCTGTCATAAGACCAAGGTTCTAATCCTAGATACTAAGTCAGACCAACTCTGTTTAGCTCTTGAGATTATTTTCTAGCTTGTGAATAATAATCTGCAAATAGTACCTATGCTTCTTACATTCCTTCCGGCTCTAAAATACACATATGCTTTTCTCTTTTTTGTACTTACTACTAAACTATGTGTGTTGAACAAAGCATGTGGCCTTATTTTAGATAAATGATGATGTAGTTATGGACGCCTTCTCAATGCTACATGTGTAGTTCCCAAATTGGACAATATCTTTCTGCAAAGATCTTCAAGTATGGCATTTGCTTCATTCTCTCACATCTGCTATTTAAAGTTCCTCTCTTGGTTTCTAATCAATCTGTGTAGATACAACTTTCTTAGGTTTTTGTGCAACAACAGAATTAACAGAATTAACAGTTGGTTGCTCTTAGGTCTTAGGTATCATCTATAAATGTCACTCCCCTAGCTATTAGCATTGTTTGTTACAACAACCTACATGGCCTGAATTTGATGTTGTGGTTGCTTGTAGTAGCTTGCCCATGATTCATGGTCTCATTGCCTTCATTTGTTTGTGTTTTTTGTGCTGTCATGCAGATCAGGAGTTGCAAGTATGTGTGTGCTATTCAATCTATTTACTGAGACAAGAGGCGTTTATTTATGTCCAGATTTCTGTTGGAGATTATGGTACATAGAAGATCTCATATTAGAGAAGAGAAAATTCATTATATCTGTCGATCTGGACAGTATGTATATGTTTCTGGCACCTTTATCCTTTAGAGCAAAGCCCAGTTCTATGTTGATCTTTCTTGAATCTTTTGTTTTGTTGATTCGAATTATTTAAGTGTGAATTTTTTTGTACAATTCCTTGATTATATGTCAGTGTCGAGGCATCTTTTGACTATTTGAATTAATTTCCCATTGTATATTTGACGTATATCTTGGAAGGATGTGGAAGAACTTATTATTATGATGTTGTACTAAACTTTGAAGCTTTTGGTGTATCATGGTACATATTATAGGAAATGCATCAATGACATGTAATGAACTTTCATGGTTTGGACCTTGGCATCCTGTGTAACATATATATTTTGGTTTACCGGCCTGGATATGACCGAATCAAGTTGGAATTTTGATAAGTATCTACTATCTCTTTAATCTTTGAGTAATGTTGTATTTTTCATAATTACGCTTTTGTATCTCTTTGCCCAATCTACATTTCCGTCTTAGGTTATTTTTTTATTACCGAGTTTGCTAAAACGAGACTAAGTGTAGACTAACATAAGTAAAATCTCAAGAGGCAGAGATCGATCCTAGGAAAGCCCCTCTCTCTCTCCTGTGTCTCGTGGGTCACTCCTACGAATCACGGGGCGAACATCGCCGCCGCCAGAGGAACCCTCCCCAGCGCTCCTTCCCCTTGCAGGCCTCCGGCCGGCCCGCGGTGGTGGCGGACGCCATCTCTCCTCTCCCCTGCCCCCTTCGCCAGCCCCTTCCTCTCCCACCATGTTTGGGCTGGATCTCGCCCCTGCTGTCTCCTCCCGTCGCGGAGGCCATGGTCTGCTGCATGGAGGTGCATCCCTCGACGACTATGGAGGTGTGGTGGGCTGCTCCCACCGAATCCTGGTGGCGTGGCTCCTTGCGGGTGGCTAGCAGTCGTGGAGGTAGTTCCCGGACGCCGCTACAGGCTGGATTTGCCGGATCCAGCGGGCTCCAGGTCCGATCTAGTGGCATCCTTGGGCAATGGCCCCTCCCTCGTGGGTGGCCGCCATGGCTGCTTCTTCTGGGCACCCGATTCCCAGATCTAGGGTCCGTCTCCGTGTGGGTGCAATGGGGAAGCTTTGGGTACAGTGGGTGGAGGATTTGCGCAGTGCGGTAGCAGGGCGGACGGCTGCGTTCTTGCGGTCCACCGCCATGTGGGTGGTGGATGAGGGTGGTTTCTGTTGGTTGTCGGAATGGCGGTTCCGGACGGTGGGCATGATGACACCATTTCGGCAGGTATCGTCGCGCGGGTGCTCCTTTGTAGCCTTGGCCGCTTGGGCAACGAGGTGGTCCATTTGGGGGCATCCGTCATGCGGGTGTGTTCTTCACAGCCACCCCGCTTGCTTCGAGCATCGTCTGCATCTTGCCTTAGCCGCCCATGGCTGATGGACCTGGTAGGTGCGGTCTTTTCCCAAGCGGAAGTTTTTCCTGACAGTGACGGTGGCGGTGATAGCGATGCTTTCGTGTGCCGTTCCCCTCCTTGGAGGTGTCACCGTGGGTGACCTGCATCCACCATGGGCTCTGGGTGAAAACTCTTGGTTTGACATGTTCCAGACCTGGGCGGTGGCGGCGTTGTGGCGTCGCTTCCTCCTTGGAGGCTCCGTCCTGTGAGCAAGGTCCCATTTTACTGGTTTTTGGGGTAATCTGTGTGGATGATAACTTCTCGTCATGTGGCGAGCCATGCTTCAACGGTAGCGCACTGTTGAGGAGCTAGGATCGGCAAGGTGGATGTGCTCAAAGGCCTCCC